CCGTTGGTGGCGTTCGGATCCCTGTCTTGGGCTCTGCCTCTGACTCTTCGCCAGAGCTTTACAACACAGCACTCGTGTCGTCCACTTCTGTCGGCCGATTGTATGGCACCAGAAGTGGTTTGGGTTTCAATACTAGCAGTAGTAGTAGTTGTGGTCATTATTGACGAGTTTGTGAAGTTTGGTGTGATTTGTTTGTGGTTTGGATGTGGTTTTGGTGATAGTGTGCGGAAGATTGTGACAAAAGCGTTATACGTTTTTGTTGGCAACTCGGCAAAGAAAATTTGGCAAAATTTTGAAACCATTGTTAAAAATTTTAATTTAGTTTAAAATAATTGTATCGAAAGTATTGTTAAAAGTAATGTTTTATTCAATACAAGAGTTATAGTGAGAGATAGAAGTTTGTGATACAGTATAAAGTTTTTAAAATTTTTAGTTAATTTTTAATTATTTTTTTACTCAATTTTTTACTATATTTACATTTGATTATATGTTTTATATTAAATTTAATGCAAAAGTGAAAGAAAACGATAACCAAATGAATCGTTATTTCATTTTTCAATATTTTTCAAATAATCATTTTACGGATTCATATTTATTGCTTTCAAATATGTGTACAATTTTATTGATTATACAATTATAAGTGGTTTTATTGGCCAAACAATAGACTAATATTTAAAAGCCATACAATGGAAGTAATTATTAAATTATGAATAAAATATATACAGTAATAACAATTAATTAAAGCATAAGCAGATATAAGCGTATTTATATATAAGATATAAATAAGTAGTCATTAAACATCAATTAACACATTGTCTTTAATCATAATTGTCTTCATCGCTGTTTTCCACACAATCTTCAGGTTTTACGTAAGAATTGGTCAAATATTCTTCGAAATATTCGTAATATTCGTGTCGTTTATAAATATCAGAATAATTGACGACACGATTGACGCCAATCTCGCAATACTTGTATATATCGAGTGCTCGTATTGACCGAATAGTGGACAGCAATTGCCAAAATGTGATCATATCTCATGAATTATGCACTAACTTAATAATAGTGTAAATTACATTATATTATATATTATTATAATCTACACTATTATTAAGTTAGTGAACAATTCATTAACACCGAGATCTTTAATACAATATCTCCCATTCATCGCAACACAGATTCAATACAATTGCCTTCACTATAGAAAGTATTTCAATGAAAATAATTCACAAAATTCTCACTCATATCAAACTTTTGTACACTATTTGCACTATAAATTGGACACAAATTCAAGAGTAATGATTGATCACATTCTCGAAGAGATTTTACAGCACTTGAGTGTCAAAGAATTGTATCGATTGGAGAGGACTTCCGCACAGTTTGCGTGTTGTGTGGGAACAGCTCTTAGGGATAAACGTATGTTAAGTGTGGGTCGAGAGGGACTCGAAGAATGCAATATCACTGAAGCCATCGCTAGAAAAGAATTGATTCGTCGCAAAAATTATGACGGACTGAGTGTTGATTACAAATACGATTTGATGGCCAGTCATCACGCGTTGACTTCAATGCTAACAAAGTTTCCACTCATTCAAGATATGATTTTGAGGCGAGTTATTGTTGACTACAAGACCATAGATCTAGTCATCCGTTTCTGTCCTCGACTTTCACGCTTAACATTGATTTCATGTAATGTCATATTTTCGCCGACTATTACTGGCAATCAATGGACACGACTTCTTGGGACGCGTTTGATTGCATTGTCTTTCATCGATTTTAAAGTCAAATATTGTGATAAAATAGTGAAAAATTTGAGTCAATTCTCATCACTTCAAGAATTATTCATTGGTTTGCGTTTTAGAGAATGTATGCCAGTGTTGGGCACTATTCCCATACATATCAAGAGATTGGGATTAAAATTACACGATATTTCGACTGAAGATGTGAATGAATTCAATGCATTCACCACTCGCTGCGCCCCATATCTCGAAGTATTGGATATTCATTACGAGTATCTCAGAGATGAGTTATGGGAACCTATTTTTGTAGACATTTGCAACAATCTATCGCTTAAAGAGTTTGCATTTCACACGTATATCGGAAATATACAACTGTTTCGGGAAAACTTGTCTAAACTAACAATTTGTGAAGTACTCAAACTCAGTGTTCACTTTCAATTTCGCATTAATTCAATGATTTCAATGCCGTCTGTAAAGCGATTAACTGTTGAGTGGGTTGAGTGCCGGCCATCCGAGTGGACACAACTGACCGCTATCTTCCCAAACGTCCGGCGCTTTACATTTCTTGAATATATTACTGTTTGGTGTGAATGCGATAATGATATCGAGCGTCGAAACCATAGTCGCTGTGATCTCTGTTTTGATGGATGCCTTCAATATGTGTCACAATTGCCAAAACTTAGACGCGTGGACCTAATCGGTGATCCCACATACTTACCGGTGCTTAGTGTTCATCATTTGAGTCAACGTTTTGCTGATATTCATACCCTTTGTTTGGACCCATATTACAAAGACGTCCACCAATTGATCTCATTTTGTGTGAATTGTTCCGAACATAGAGTTACAAGACGTCCATTAAGTCTAGTATTAAACAAAGAAATTGCTAATAAACTGAAGAATAAGTTGTGCGAAATGGACATCAACTCGGATTCAATCAGAATTTGTGTCTTAAATCAAACCAATAATCTCTTTAATGAGTATTTTTAAAGCAAAATTTATTCATTTATTTTTGTTTTATAGTCTAATATATTGACAAAAATTTAAATTAAATGAATTAAATGTGAATTAAATAAATACATAGTCTTTTATTTATAAGTAGTTTAATAATTATTTATAAAAATTAAGCGATTATAAGAATAGCATAAAACTATACTGTCTTTTAATTCCCAAACAACTTATAAATTATTTTCAATTCATACTAAAGAGATAATAATTAAATATTAATGTATTATGATCATAACAAAATTAATACTATCCATAAAGTGGCCACAATGTGGCATGGTCATTTTCATAATTCAAACTTTGAACTTAATTTCTAATCTTTGAAAACTTTTTTGTTTCAAAACTTTTGCCACAAATACATGTATTGACTGATGTGTTGAGTGTATGGCTTGTAATACAGGTGTCACTAATGGTGAGTGAATGACGCGTCCATACAATACAACACAACAACACATCCACGCAGTGATCACAAGAGTCGTCCACACATTGGTTTTGAGCACTCATTTCATCCATTGATTCTTCCTCTCGACCACTGGTCGGCCACCGGATTGTCTCAACACAAACGCAACGCTTCCCATAAGACAGAGACATGTCTTTCAATCGGGACAACAGTTTTGAGGCTAATGTCAGAAATTATCATCAAAATAGTGTCACAACCGATGGATCAGATGAACGCCAATTGAATGGCGCCGTCGAAGACACCGCTGTTGTCGACAATAACACCAACGGTTTGTTTCATCGCTTAATATAGTGTTTGTCTTAATTGTCTTGAAGTGAGTCATTGGACTCAATGAAGACATTCAATGAGACAAACACTACATATGTTTTGCTCATAACTATCACTCAATTACTTCCCATTTCTATTGTCTCTAATAGAAGACAATAATGCGGCCATCGATGGAGACAACAGTATTAAAGCCACGAGAGGTAACATATCGTACGAAGAGGTGAGCGATGACTATCTGGACACCGATCCGGACGACGACCCGGAAGAGGACGAGTCCGAGTCGACCATCAGTTTAGATGATAGCTGTCGACCGAAGGCGAGCGCCGGAGCGTTGATGGGCCGACTCGGCGGCAGTCAAGACAACGGCGCCGTCGACCGCTTCGCGTCGGAACCACTGCCCGAAACGGTGACGGTATTGGACGGACCCAATGGCGCCAAACTATATCTCGTGGGAACCGCTCACTTCAGTGAGAAGAGCCAACAGGATGTCAGCCAAGTATGTGATGATTGTTTTGCCAGTCAATGGCAGTTCAGTGACACCATTTGTTAACCTCTTTGCAGACAATCCTAAGAACTCAGCCCAACATTATTGTCCTCGAGTTGTGTGAAAGCCGTTTAAGTATACTATCGATGGACGAGAAGACAATTCTGGAGGAATCGTCAACAATGGGCGTCGCGAAGATCAGACATAACATACGCGAAGTATGTGTTGAACGCGTCTCACAATTGATTGTCCAATGAATTAATGTATTGTTTGTTCACCACTTACAGCACGGCTTAGTCCAGGGGGTGATGTACGCCCTATTGCTCAGCCTATCGGCCCATTTGACCAAACAGTTAGGTATGGCTCCGGGCGGAGAGTTCAGGCGCGCCTTCAATGAGGTCAGTCTCACGACAAACACTTGTCATTGAATTGTATTTATAAAAATGTGTTTTATTTGAAACGAAAGGCGAGTAAAATTCCCGGATGTGTTGTCCATTTGGGCGATCGACCCGTTCACACAACCCTACGGCGGGCCATATCATCGCTAACGGTATGGCAGAAAGTAAGGCTCGCTTTCGGTATTATATTCAACAGCGAATCCATCAGTAAAGAGGAGATCGAAAAATGCAAACAAAAAGATCTTTTGGAGGTTTTTAACGACATTTTACTTTAAACTAAACCATATTTTAGTGACTAATTTAATACAATATTGTTATGCTTTGGCAGCAAATGTTGATCGAAATGTCGGGTGAGTTCCCGGAACTGAGTCGCGTGTTTCTGGAGGAAAGGGACGCATACCTGGCCTACAGTCTATGGTTGGCCACAGCGCCCATTCCCCACATGGACTCACCCACAGGCTATCACCCGGCCGTTGTGGTCGGTGTTGTGGGCATCGGTCACGTGGCGGGCATTGTCAAGAAGTGGGGAACCGTTAGGGACGAAGACATTACCGAACTTCTCACGTATACTATTCATACATTTTTGTGTTTTATTCGAGTTTTAATTGAATTGTGTTTTTTAATGTGTTTGTATTGAATGGCAAACAGAATACCGGAAACATCTCTGACCACAAAGATAGTGAAGAAGTCACTGAAGTACACGTTCATAGGTTTGGCCGTTTGGGGCTGTTATCGGCTGTTTGTGCCCAACACTATCAACACCGCCTTATCTCACGCCTCTCTCCAGACCATCGATTGGATTCAGAAATCTATTCACAAATAATAACCACTTTTTTAGTTATATTTAATAGAGAAATGAATTTAATTTATTTCATTTTTAAACGAATGCGTTATTAATATATTTTATAACACAATTATATTGTGACAAATATTACCTGTTTTTAAAAAAATGTTAAACAAATTATTGCTCTTTTTGAATGACATTTATTTAATAAATTATTATTAAAATCTAATAAATTTTGGCAATAATTGTGTTTACAGAAGATATTTCCTATATTTATAAATTACAATGATTTGTAATACTATCAAAATTACAGCGGAATTTATAGTGCAAATAGTGTACAAAAGTTTGATATGAGTGAGAATTTTGTGAATTATTTTCATTGAAATACTTTCTATAGTGAAGGCAATTGTATTGAATCTGTGTTGCGATGAATGGGAGATATTGTGTTATAGATCTCGGTGTTAATTTGAGTTTAATCTTGGTTATATATTATTATAATGTACACTATTATTAAGTTAGTGAACAATTCATGAGATATTATTACATTTTGGCAATTGCTGTCCACTATTCGGTCAATACTAGCACTCGATATATACAAGTATTGCGAGGTTGGCGTCAATCGTGTCGTCAATTATTCTCATATTTATAAACGACACGAATATTACGAATAGTTCGAAGAATATTTGACCACATCTTACGTAAAACCTGAAGATTGTGTGGAAAACAGCGATGAAGACAATTATGATTAAAAACAATGTGTTAATTGATGTTTAATAACTACTTATTTATATCTTATATTATATCTCTCACTATAACTCTTGTATTGAATAAAACACTAACAATACTTTGGATACAATTATTTTAAACTAAATTAAAATTTTTAACAATGGTTTCAAAACTTTGCCAAATTTTCTTTGCCGAGTTGCCAACAAAAACGTATAACGCTTTTGTCACAATCTTCCGCACACTATCACCAAAACCACATCCAAACCACTTGCAAATCACACCAAACTTCACAAACCCATCCGTAATGACCACAACTACTACTACTGCTTGCAGTGAAACCCAAACCACTTCTGGTGCCATACAATCGGCCGACAGAAGTGAACGACACGAGTGTTGTGTTGTAAAGCTCTGGCGGAGAGTCAGAGGCAGAGCCCAAGACAGGGATCCGAACGCCACCAACGGTTCCAATCATAACAGACAACGGAAGGGCTGCTGTCGACGATTACTCGATGCCATCGGTCGACGCCTCTGTGGCCGTCGAAGACGAGTCCAACCTGTAGTGGAGTCGACAGACTCTTCAGATAACACCACTCGTGAGAAACAGTTGGAACCGTTAGCTGACGAACCGTTGGTTTTGTCGCACGGGTTGTGCCAACAATCAGTCATTTGTATACAGAGGTGTCCTCAACTACCGTTGCTTGTCTGGTAACTCAACAGAGTGTTCTCTAGGTGTGAACCTAACTCACTGCTGAGTTTGCTGTTAGTTAGCCTTTGGAGAAATTTCTAGCGGTTAGAATGGGATGAAGAGAGCAGTCGTGAGTCTCCTCTTCAGTGCGATTACAACAAAGAGAGCAACACTTCGACCGAAGAGTGGCTCCAAAATCACTACAAAATCGACCACTTGTTGGACGCACTGAAGACAACTCTTCACTTCAAAAGTGAGTTTAACTCTATTATTAAAGACTGTTTGCCGACACTCTTTGCAAATGACGTTGAATTGGGAACACATTTAGGAACCGGTGGTAACGGACTGGTAGTCAGCGGTCAATACAACGGCAAACGAGTGGCCATAAAGTTCTGCAAGAGTTCACTTCAATCGGTTGACAAAGAGTTGAAAGCAATGATAGCTTTGAAACACATGAATGTGTTGTCCGCGCATCGGATCCGATACCCAGAGAACGGTTCCAATCGAGTGATAGTCATGGAAGCGGCCGAATGTAGTCTTCAGCGCTACACCTCATCACCCAATCACTGCTCACTCGACGCCCAATCGGCGCTCACTTTCTTTAAGGACATAGTCTTCCCTCACTTAATGTAGGTGCCGAACCCTACGCGAGTGAACCTAGAGTTTGGGCTATTGCAAGAAGAGCAGTCTACACTCTGTTAGCCTCCTTAACAGCGGTTTTAGACACTAAAACCCAGATAAAACGGAGTCGTCGACGAGACGGGACTTCCCATCGAAATGGAGGCCCAATACTGGACGGAAAGCTATGAATCGCCCGAAGCATTGTGTGGACTGGAAGTGGAGGACATCCGCTGTTGTGATGTTTGGGCCACGGGTTTGATCGGCGAACAACTGTTGGCTCACAGACTGGATCTGACAGACTTCGGCAACAGTGAAGTTCAGCGAGTGTTGGATCAACTCTTGGAAATCGATTACACTCTCCGCCCGTCTTTGGACTCAATACTCATCGACCCGTTACTGACGGCTCAGTATATGAGACCCACAACTCTTTAGACCTAGAGATTCATCCGATGACCACTTTTGAGCTATAGTTGAGTTCAAAGCACATCCACTTCTTAGTCAAAGTGATGGCCGATTGACTCGCGATTCCCTTCCCCTCCGTCTGTATTCGCCATAACATCGGACGCCCAGAGAGGGGGCAGTCGTTGTCCTGAGAGAGCCGTAAGCCTGCGATCCGCCGAAGACCCGACACTCGTGTCAACGATTCATATGGAGACCAACCATAGGATTACGACTCTCTTTGGACAACGAGAGGGACAGCNGATGGCATCGAGTAGTCGTCGACAGCAGCCCTTCCGTTGTCTGTTATGATTGGAACCGTTGGTGGCGTTCGGATCCCTGTCTTGGGCTCTGCCTCTGACTCTATGCCAGAGCTTTACAACACAGCACTCGTGTCGTCCACTTCTGTCGGCCGATTGTATGGCTCCACAAGTGGTTTGGGTTTCACTGCAAGCAGTAGTAGGAGTTGTGGTCATTGTTGACAGGTTTGTGAAGTTTGCGGTGATTTGCAAGTGGTTTGGAAGTGGTTTGGATGTGGTTTTGGTGATAGTTTTGCGGAAGATTGTGACAAAAGCGTTATACGTTTTTGTTGGCAACTCGGCAAAGAAAATTTGGCAAACTTTTCAAACCATTGTTAAAAATTTTCAAAATTTTGAAAGTTATGTATTAATTGTTGATAAAGTGTTATACAATTGAAACTGAGATTAAATGCAATGAATTGACTATAAATAATGAATTGATTAATGAATTATTAATTTAATGCCATTTATTTTTACTTTTCATTTATGTTTTTAATTGAATCAAATAAATCTGAAATTAATGTATTGTAATTATTATTTTAAAAAGTTTATTTAAATTAGTTGTTTAAAATATAAACAAACTTTACGTAAATTTATGAAAATAAATATATTTATAAACATTATTTAAAACAATAATTTATTGAATTAATGATTATAATCTTAAATGTTTGTAAATTTTATATATCAATCCTTAATTAATTAATTAATTACAAATTTATACAATAAAATGCATAGTTTTTTACAATTGATTTATAAAATAACACTGATTTTAATCAATCATATGATTGAGTTTATGTTCAATACTCAACCATTGGATTAATCTAATCAATAGTAAACAAAAACATTTGATTTACACAAAGAAAATGCGTTAATATTACGGACGAATGAAGAAGTTATATAAGTTTTGGTATAATTGTCTATATTTTGTTAATAGAGATAATATTAAATTGATGTTATTGTTAACTCATTTATTATTTGGCATTTTATTATAAATTTACATTCGTTTCCAGCATTTAAATAATAACTTAAATTAAAACTGATTTGCAATTGCATTGAATAAAGTACATTAGATCTTAGCATCCAGCAAATGAGGAGATATATACACTAGTTTTTGTATTAATACATTATATTTAAATCCTTTAATCCATTGACAAATCCTTTCATAAAATATTGTTTTAACTTTATTTTAAACATTTCCTCATTCTATCAAAATATTCCACAAATAACTCAAAACCTAAAAACATGAATAATTTATTATTTTTTATATGTTTATTGTGTTGTTTGAATTCATTGGCATATTCAACGCCAGTATTGGGTAATACAGTATTAGATTATAAATAACAATAATATTATGTATCTCTTATAATATATTAAATTTAAATTAATTAATAATTGCTTTCTTGTGATGAGTCGAGCGGTGGTTAAGTATATTCCGAAAGAACGTTCAAATCAGAGCTCAATATCCTATGAATAGTAAAACCATTGGAAGTCATATAATGAGAGGAATTGAATCCAAACGATGCGATGACAGCCTTTGCGCCGATTGTGTGCCAGGATTTTGCCGTCAAAGACATCATTCACCCACTCATTCATCGCTTACCAGTCGTGCAATACATGATATCTCCGCACAAATTGATCACATCATTCATAATCAAACCATTGGACACAATATCGCCGCAAATCAAACCGATATTCTGTCGACAAATGCTGAGAATATCACACAAATTATTCAGATTCCCAGTAGTTATGAGAATATTTCCGATTTTGACAACTATTTAGCGCCGAAATCAGTTGATAGAAGTTTACCAAACAATTCGTCCAATTTATTGAATGCAAATTTAGGGACGGATAGCCTTCCGACACATACCGGAGCCACACATCCATCGTTTGTATGCATTTGTTCGTGGGTTTGAAATGATTATATTTTTAGACAATTTTGTGAATTAATTGTGAGAAAACAGAGTTTATTAGTTATGAAAATGTATTTCGACTATTAGTTTATTAGTAATAATATGTTAAACATATTTAAAATTAAAAATTCATTTTAATGATAAACAGTATAAACATTTTTGAAAACGTTATGAAATAATGAGAGAAAAGGGTAGAGAAAGGGATGAAAATTCAGGTTTTTATAAGATTTAAAATTGTGATTATTATCAAAAAATTATTTTGTTTTTGACAAAAAAGTTGTTATAAATTTAGTATAATATCAATAAATTATTAATAAAATTATTTTCCACACTTTGTGTGCAAACGGAGATTCAGTCTATGTTAATAATTATACGTGACTTACAATTACAAAAGCCGTACACTTTCCCTGAATTTACATATAATTACAGTAATTATCATAAATTTTAAACCTCTTTGAATGACAGTCAATGAAATCAGATTCAATAGGAAATCAATTTTTATATTAAAACACAATTTACAAGACGAGTGAAAATACATTTAAATAAGAGACTAATTTAAATATCAGGCAAATTAAATGCTAGAATACTAATCGGTTTTATGATAAAAAGTATTTAAATTAACAAAAGGGCATTTTTAATAACATTTACTAATATATAAAATTTATATTTTGAACATAAAAGTAATGTTAAATATTATAAAGTGAACTAATGATTGATGTCTTCATCCTTTCCATTACTATCGATGAACGGAGTATTTGTCTGATCTTCTAATGGGATCTCAACTCCATTACCATTAGTTGTCTTTTCCTAAAAATGACAGAAAAATACATTAATTGACAATTAATCGCAACTAAAAACACAAAGAAAATAATAGTTGTGTTTAAGTGAGACATTCATTCAATGCATACAACAGTTATTGATCACAAATTTTCATGCAATTCAAAAAATGCTTGCGATTAATACATAACACAAATACAACATTAAATAATAGTATTAAAATCAATACATGTTTTGCATAATAACCTATTTTAGTGTTTGTTTTAATGACAATTTAATATTTGTGAGCATTTAGTTGTGATCGAAATGTGTGTTTAAAGAGTTGTTATCAACTTTTTCTGTAAGAGAAAAAACATGAAAAAATACAATTTACTCAAAATTAATTGAGTCTTGGATTTCGACACTTAATTAAACGTTTCATTCGTATTTCACATTCACTATTAAATCTCATTATAATTAAAACACTTATGAATATAAAAGTGGCAAAAATTAGTGCACAAAACCAAACTTAAAACAATGTAATTCCCGACAAATATTATGTATTTATTGCAAACAATAGCCAAAACCCGTGTGTCTTATCTGCGGATATGAGATCCGAGTGTACCTTCGCTTCGACTCCTTTGTTGGTCACATCAGTCTGTTGTCCGTTCAGTGCCTCATATGTGAGTCCGGCGTTGGGATCCTTAGCCCGTCGGCGGCCGTTCACCCAAAACGTGATTTGACGCGAACGCAACACAACTCCATAGCAGCAAAAGGCCAACAAAAGAATTGCTATAATGGCCACCAAAAAGGCGATTATAATCCAATTCAATAGATTAGCGGTCGACGACTTCGGGTTGAGTCCGCACTCGTCGTCAAAGCGGAAAAAGTCGTCCACAATAGAAAGCGGACCATTGCATGGCTAGAAACACACAATTACGTTAATTTTATAGTTATTATTTGTTTGCGTAAACAGTATTTCACAATACTAACCTCGTTGCCAAAAACTGGACAAATGTAAAAGTTTTCCGCTTTAAACATATAGAGGTAGGCGTCGTCCATCTGGGAATCGGTCTTGATGAAATTGGCCGAATCCAGGGGTCCCTCTATGCCCGAGAAGGAGGCGGGTATGTTGAGGTGCCGCACTTCACTCCACTCCCCTCTCTCGCATTTCACAGACGTGTAAGAGTTTCCTATCATTTATTGCAAACAAATCGTGTTATTTATTGATTGTTAAATTAGAGGGGAAAACAAATGTCAAAATATTGGGCCAAACCTTGAAATATGACAAAAATGCCCCCAAAGAAACCAAACGCGTCGATAGGTTGGGACCAGTTTACAGATTTGGCTGCGAATAGCACATCCACATCAGCCACACTTCGCCTAACTGTCCATTTCTGGTCTTCGTATATGTTTATCACAACACTGTTGTTCCCGTCCTTCAAATTCACCACAAAAAACGCAAAAAAGAAAGAAAGAAAATTTAGAAAACATGCAAACAGTTTATCTTAAAAATTGTTATCAAACTTCATATCAAATCAATTTCACTTCAAAACTTATCCCACAATTCGTGAACGCATTCATAAAAAATTTCTTGTTTTGTTTTGAAAGATTGAAATCGTTTTTAAAAAATCGATTTCATAAGAAAGTAAACTTAATTTGCATTTTATTTTTCATTTCTTAAAGCAGTTGTTTTTTAATGAATAAAAATATTTCATTCAAAATACAATTGATAAATGCGTTCATTGAATGGAGAAAACGACAGAAAGATCATGAAAAGTAAATATTAAATGTAAGGCATTATATAATAACTACTTTGCGATCGTAAAACTTATTCAAATGTTTATTGTTTTTGAGGCCAATTCCTCGCCTCTTATCGTAAGAATAGTATAATATATTTTGCTTTTTGATTATAAATTAATACATATGTTATACGTTTGTTGAGATAATTTGAGATCAGCTCAAGAATCGTGACTTAAACTCCTCTTTTATAACTTCAAATGAGTTATTCATATCTGTTATATGAATGTTGTGTTGACTTTTGCCACACATTTCTCATTGTATTGAAAATGTTTGTATGGATGGGAATTATATAGTAAATTGTTAAATAATTATTATTAATAATTACACACATTTTTAATTTTAATGTGTTTCCACAAAATAAAATCAAAACAAATTTAATAAACAAATTGATTAATAATCTTACGGTTAATGAATATTTTTAAAAAGTAATTATTTCATAATCAGATTATACATGAATTTAGTTCAAAAACAACA